TAAATTTATGTAGTTGGTACAGGGTCCCACTGTACAGCCTGCACAGCATGTGTTACCAGGGAGTGAACCCAGTCTATGTACTTGCCAGGCAGGCACTTAGACTGCTGAGCTATCTCCGTGGCCTCTCAGAAGATAACTTTAGAAAATTCTGAATTGCCTCAATCTTTAGTCTCTTTCTTTCTTTCTTTTTTTAGTCTCTTTCTTTCTTTCTTTCTTTCTTTCTTTCTTTCTTTTTTTTTTTTTTTTTTTTTTTTTTTTTTTTACCAGGGATTGAACTCAGGTCCTTGTGCTTGCCAGGCAAACACTTATTCTACTGAGCAATCTCCCCAGTCCCTAGTCTCTTTCTTATTCATTCATTATTTATAGAAGCCATTCTTTGATCTCTGTAGTCAGTAAGATCCAAGTCCCTTTAATAAAAAGTTTCTTGGAAAAAAGCAATGCCTTTCACTGTAGTAGTGGTAGAGACTGAAGGAAGGTTTCTGAAAGGAACTTTTAGCCGCCTAGGGTGAAAATGTCACAATGCATTATCACTAGAGATGGGAATTGCCAGAAGGACCCGGGAGGAGTCTGAGGATTACATGGGAGAGTGGTAGTGAAGCTTGATCCTGGATGATGGATTTCCAAGAGAAATTAAGAGTCTAACTAGGTTGTCTTGAGTCAGAAAATGTCATCAAGCCCTTCTCTTAGTAATGACTTAAGAGCAGCTGTCTTGATTCACTCCATTACCCACAGAGGGTGGAGGCAGAAAGCAAAGGCAGATGCTGCTTGGGGCTGACAACTTGCTGGATCTCAGGATGGGCAGCAATTTGGAGTCCTGGCTGTCTGGGCCCATCTTCTTGTGTCAGGGCATCACTCTGTTGCTTCTGCACTGCATGGATCCGCAGAACACGTTTCAGACAGCTGTTTGACTTTCCTGATTGTCCTTTCACCTCCGCCTGCCTCTAGTTACCTTCAGGAAAATGTTTTTGGTTCTCTTTTTAGTCCCTCATAAGCCTATTGAGAATTTCTTCCAGTTGTCTATGAGCTTTAGGCTCATTGTTTAAGGCAAGTTTATTTGTTTACAGCCTGGGCTTGGTAGAAACTTCTATACACTATGCTAATTTTCTATTGTTTGTAGGCCCTTTTCTAGCTACATGGGAGCTACATGTACCCCCATCCCCATGACTTTTATGTCCCTACTTAAAGCCAAGCTCTTGCTTGGCTTCTTGGGCTTCTTCATATAGCCATTATTTTCTTTTTGGGAACGCTTCCCACTCTGATAGTTGGTAGATTTTTTTTTTTTTTTTTTTTTTTTTTGTAGATTCTTTTCACAGTTTGTTTTCATTCTCTACTAGTTCAGCTCATTCTTTTTCTTCTGATGTCTTTGCAGAGCCAGAAAACAGCTGCATGTTCCCAAGGACTTGGCCTGGGCATTTTAAGAGCTTGCCTTCCCCCATCAGAACCAGCTCTTTCACCTGTGAGGAGACACACACATTGCCTGCAGAGTTGCTCCTAATGATACAGGATGAACAGGTTGGGCACAAAGGCACAACAGAAACCTATTTGTAATGTGGTTGTTTTTCTTTCAAATCCTTAAAAACATAAGCAACCTATATGGTGCTAGTGGGGAGAGGGAGGGACTGGGAGATGGTTCCAGAGTTTATCGTTACTCCAAGAAGCCCATTTTTCATCATGTGCTCAGCCTAGAGGAGGCTTAGTCCTTTTATATAGTGGTGCCGTCTTCTTCTGGCCTCTGCCTCCACTACAATTTTTTCTGTGGTAAAATATATATAAAACATAAAGTGTACCATTTTAACCATTTTGAGGTGTGCAGCTCAGTGACACTAAGTGCATTCACATTGTCACGCAAGCACCACCTCATCCATCTCCAGCATTTCTCATCTTCTCCAACTGCAAGTCTGTGCCCATTAAACACCAGCTCCCTTTTACCCTTTGCCGCCGTTCTTGGCACCCTTCCTCTATTATGATTTCACTCTGCTTCTTAAAGCACCATTCTGACCACAGAGGCTCTGTTTCCTTCATTAAATCTCGGCTTCTCGGACTGATACTCAAGACCCTCTCCACCAGGGCCTGCGGCCTCATTCCAACAAGCTTCTATCACTTGTCCGTTCAGAGTCTCTTTCTCTCAGAGTTCTGAGTCCCTGCCCTCACAGGAGTCACTTTCCCCTTCTGATCCTTTCTTTGTGTGTGTGGCCCTCCCCACACTTCCTCTCAGTCCAATTGGCCCATGCTTTCATATTCCTTTCCATTCTCATGTCCTAAAATGCCCCAGCCTCTATTATATGACCTCACCTTTTCCCAGACTATGTGTAGTATTCTGCCTGCTTGCTTTTTTACTGTTCTTATTTTATCTGTGTTTTATGTCCCTCTCAGATCAGAGACACCCTCAAGGCATCCACTGAATCTATTCCTAGTTCAGTGTGTTCTGTTCTAGAGCCTCACTACTTAGAGTATGGTGCAGCATCTAGTGGCATTAACATTACTCAGGCACACGTGAGAAATGCGGAACATGAGGTTCTGCCCCTGACCTGCTGAATAAGAATCTCATATTTAAAAAAAGAATTTGGTACAGGGTCTCAGTACGCTGCTCGGACTCATAGTGATCCCCAGTGTTGGGATTACAGGCATGCGCCGCCACACTGGGTGTTGGTGGTCCTCTCAGCGCACCCAGGATCGGGGCTGGTGTGACCTGGGTGCTGAGGATCGAACCCAGGTCCCTGTGTTTGCCTACGCAGGCACTTAGTCTGCTGAGCTATCTCGCTGGCCCTACGAATCTACATTTTAACATGACCTCCAGATGACTGGCATGTACATGAAAGTCTGAGAATCACTGCTGTAGGAGGGGTAATGGATGATTTATTTTGAAAGTGTTTATGAGTAAAAAGTAATATCTTCAGATTTCATTCATAGTGTGTGGATATTTTGGGGAAGGGGAAGACTGATATTTCATGGCTTTGGATATATGAATTTCTAACAGTATTGCCAGGAAAGCTGGGAATTGACTCTCTAAAGCCAAGAGGGTCTGGGATCAGTGTCCTCAAGGCAAAGGCTCAAGACTTACACAGCAACAAACTCCCTAGCTATCTGTCTTGCAAAAGGCCAAATAGAGGTAGAGCCCCTGGAAATGTACCGTCAGGTTGGCTCAAGGTGTTTCCCTGGAATTAAGCACCTTTTAGCCAAACAGACATTTGTCACTGAAGCCCAAGGGAGAAGCAGGACTCCAGTTCTCAAAATAACCTTCTAGTTTCTGTGTCCCTGGCTGGTGCTGATTCATCTTTTGTAGGAGGTTTGACTGTGGCTGGGAATGGCTGAGGAGCGGGTGTAATTCTCTCCTTCTTCCTCACCCCACTGAGAGGGAGTGAGGAGAGACACGAAGAGCGGAGACAGGGTGTGGGAGTCAAACCTGTTCTTCACATAGCAATCGTCTGGTCTCATTCTTTACTCTCACTCCAAGAAGTTGAGTCCAGAGCTGGGAATACTTGGAGCCAGTCTGCGTCTGCTTGGCTCACCGCCAGCCTACCCCTTTTCTGTTCCTTCCTCTGGGAATCCAGGGGAGCGGAGAATGTCTTCCCCTGTTCTCCCACTTCATGGTTAGAGCTGTGACGCACTGAGGCCAAAACTGTGAAGTGGGAGTTTGGATTCTTTAGCTAGTGTCTTGCCCTCCTCGGCTACCTTGAGGAGAGAATGTCGGGATCCACTTGCCTTATTGCTTTCGAGGGCAGGAAGGGATTATAAAGGAAATAAAAGGCAAAGTGTGAGCAAGCTGAGCTCCGTGGTCTATAAAGCAGGGAGGGAAAAAGTTGTAACTAAGAGATCTGTTTCCCCAAAGTTATGGGTAAAGATTACTCTGAATCCTTGCCACACTTTTCCAGGCCTCTAGGTCTCTGGATATTGTTATTTTGGAGGAGAGAAGTATTTTTTGGTTTCCTAGTGGTGATTTCTGAAGTGGAGGCCTCGCGTGCATCTCTTGTCACGTTCAGAGGTACTTACCCTTGGAAGCAGTCTCCTTTGAATTTTACCTCTAGCTGGTATCTAGTGCTTGAGTATTGCTGCATGACTGGAAATGGCAGGCTGAGGCCCAGGGACCTGGTGACAAGGACCAGGAATGGGGTCATAGCCTAGGTCTTTCAGAACATAGTTTCAGCATTTCATTCGTTTGAATCATATCATTCACTGCTCTTCTGGGGATGGCATGGATTGGTTATTATCACCAGAGCTGGTATAAAATACCAGCTGGCTCTTACTGTAGCATTTGGCTCAGTATTTGTGTCCTAAACGTGCTCATTGTTTTCTCGTCCGCCTTCCTGCAGGCAAGAGTGGACTCTCCTCTTCTTTCTATCTTAATGCCAATGTCAGTGTAGACTAGATGGTGAGGACAGAATCTAAGGAAATCACAACCTTTCTAGTTCGGAAGGCATCTGAGAGGTTGACTCCTTTGCAGTTAGTTCTTTTATGAAAGGAGTATATATTTATATATTTTTTAAAAACCTCCTTAACTTTTAGGCCAGGCTACATTGGTTCAGTTGCACAAAGTTCTGACAAAACTGTATGGCTGAGTCTATTCTGTCCTGAACATCTTTCTAGGAAAGACTCAGTATTTTGTACACTTGAAGGTAGGGGGGATATTGGTGACAAGAGGGAGATAGAGAAACATGAAAATTTAGCCAGGAGAAGCTTAGTAAGAATTATAATGAGTGTGTGTGCTATTTCTTCTCCAACACACTCCATAATTTTTATGACCAATTATTCCATTTGTAACAATGCTGAGATAAGGAGATTCCATCTCAGGCTCCATGGCGCATGCCAGGTACTCATGGGAGCTAGAAGACACAATTCCTTATACAAGAATTAGTTGGCCAGAGTGTTTCCACCAAGATTCAGCTCCACAGGGAAGAAAGAAAAGACTAAGAAGAAAATTATGAACAGCCAAGGTATATGAAGAGGATCAGGGAGAGAGGCAGCTTTATTTTTATTTATTTATTTATTTATTTTTTTTTAGTTTAGCACCGTTTATTTGTGATCTCAGCTGTGGTCGTAGCTGCTGTGAGTCAGCCTGTACTCAAAACATAACATGCTCTTCCATTCCTCTTGTCCAGCACAGAAGGGTCTTCCAGGAGGCACACCAACAGAACAAGGGACTCCGATGATGCCAGCTTCAATGATGGTGCCATCCAGAGAGGGAGAGGGTGATGGCACATTCAACCGCGGCTTCCAGAGGTTTGGAAAAAGGAGCCTTTGGGGGCCCAGCCTGCCTGGCATTTTGATGCTGTCGGTGTGAGTTTTGTATTTGGGAGGTAGGTTAAGCACGCGCCGAAGTGTGTCCCGGATTCGGGCTGTGGTTGCTTGGTCACTGGCAGTCTTATTCCATATGGAAATAATGTCCTCCTGGAAGCGGACAGAGACCACAGCCCCACAGATCTCCTCCCCAACCATGAACTGTTCTCCCAGCAAGGCCAGGATGAGATTCTCCCAGCACCGGGAGGCCAAGCCCTTCCACAGCCGAATGATCCATTTGCCACCATTTTTATTTGCATCATCCTCCCACATGGGTTTAATTCCTTCTTTGAAGAGATGGAAGTCACTGTGTCCTGTCAGGTCCCCAGGACGTACCATGTGGCTATAAAACCTCCAGAACTGCTCCACAGAGGCAAAGGTGCCGATCTGCTTGATATTCTGTTCATAGCTCTGTGAGCTGGTGGGACGGCCTGGGGTTCTCCTGGAGTACCAGAAAGTGTAGTTGTACTGCAAGGGATGTTCTGCCGGTCCAGGGACAACAGCCTTCCTCTTACTGCTGCTCTGACTCTTGTCTCGTTCTGTTTTTTCCTTCTCACCATCTTTCTGTGTGCTGTTTTCTTCATTCTGATCATGGTCTCCACTGTCATCATCTTTCAAGGCGTCGAATTTGTTGTTCATCCTCTCGCCGCCACTGTCGCCACTGCCTCATGGAGTAACTTCCGCTCTCGAGAGGCAGCTTTAAAATGAGGGAGAAGGCTGGCCAAATAGCTCAGTGGATTAAAGCTCCTGCTTAGGCAGGCACAGCGGCCAGGGTTCGATCCCAGGTGTGCTGTGCTGGCCCTGTCCCCAGGGCGCACTGAGATGGCAATTGAGACTGGGCATGGAGGCCCATACCTATAATCCCAGCTCTTTGGGAGGCTGATCACAGGCAGATCACTAGGAGTCTAATCTACATAGTGAGACCCTATACTAAAAAAATACAAAATAAATAAAAAGGAAAGTGAAGGAGAGATTAATGATTGACTCAGGATAGGTAAAAGACCTGTCTTCCAGTATGAGAATTTTGTGATCCAACATAGCTTCTAATGCTGTTATTAACATGTTACTAATAAACAGAGACAGTGATACTTTGATGTAAGAGATGGTGTTACTCCAAGCCACAAGGTAACAGTTTTCCCAGGAAAGGTTTAAGGACTCACTCAGGAAGGGCTTAGAGAAGTGTAGACAAAAAAAAAAAAAAAAAAAAGGCCCGGACTGGGGACAGAGCATGTTCCCTTTGGGACAGGTTGTCACCTTTTCTCAACTTTTGGACTGCAGAACGCAGCTGATCTCCTTGACAGAGCAGGTAATTGGTCTGTCTGGCCAGGAGGCAGGCAGGCGAAGGAATCACATCTAGTTTTTTTTCATGGGTTGGGCTGGAACATACCTGCTCCAGCCTCCACAGTTTTCTCCCAGATCTTTCCTATTGACTTGCACTTTTACCACTTTCCTGTCAGGTTTTTCTTGTTTATTAATGGTTAAAAGTAAGACTTTCCAAGTCAGGTAGACCTGGGTTTTAGTTCCAACTGTGCACTTTTATTATATTATGTAGACTCTTTGATCCTGTGGTACCATCTGTAAAATGGGGATAATAAAGGCCTACACCTTAGACTAATTTTAAGAATTAAGCAAGAGAATGTTTAAGTGAGGGCTTGATGTTTAGTAAGTGCTTAATAAAAAGTAACAATTTTCTCCTTTCTCTGCTCCCTGGCCACTTTTCCTTAGAGGTGATGCAGGGAGAGAAAGAAGGATGCCCAAACAGATGGACGTAAAAGGCTGACTGTAAAAAAAAAAAAA